ATATATGTAGACACTAGTGTATTTTATTATTTACTACCATAAAATATACACAATCTATTATAAAAAGTTAAAGTTTATCAAAGCTTATGCATACACTTATAGACTGTACATTGTGCCATCATAATCGAGAGATGTAAACAGATATAAAGGTGCAGTATTAAAGCCTAACTGCATAAAATTAACTGTAGTACACACTGTACTCCTGTAATCATTTTATAGCCACCTCTTGCGGTGAACTCAGGTGTTGTCAGTATCTCTTAGAATGCCCTGTGCCCCTAATCATCTCTAAATGAGCTGTTCTTTCTACAGTAAATGGATCCCAATAAAAAGTGATCCTTGTGGTTGTCGCATTTTTCATCGAGTTTAGTGCAATACCATAAATGTTGAATAACACCAGAGGATCCATACAAAGCGCACTAGTGATGCTGAAGTGCTCCCAAGAAGCAGAGAAAAGTTGAGACATACAAGAAAAAGTTGAATTGCTTGATATGCATCGTAGATTGAGGTCGGCAGCTGTAGTTGCCCACTATTTTAGATGGACGATTCATCTTGTGAACAAATGATGCAAACGTGTGGTATTGATAAATGTAGTACAGTACTCTAAATGTATTTTCTCTTCCTCATGACTTTCTAAATATTTTCTCTGTGAGAATATAATATATAATACATATACAAAATTTGTGTTAATTGATCTCAGTAAGGCTTCTGGTCAACAGTAGGCTATTGATATTAAGTTTTAGAGGAGTTAAATGCTATAGACAGATTTTAGACTGCTCAGGAAGTCAGTGTCCCTAACCTCTACATTGTTCAAAGATCAACTATACAGTTGATTTATAAGTATATATAATACAATGACCAAGACTCTGAGCTGGCAAGGAGGTTTATAAGTATGACTAACCAACAAATATAAGTCTGTCCCCAAGCTCTACTTTTCTGTTCTGGCCTTCAGTCTGTCCTTCTGCTTTCTCTAGACCTCTTTCTAATACTTTGAATTTTTTAAACAATTTGTCTCTTATATGATTTTTTTCTATTCCTTTTTCCCTTCCCTTCCCTTACTTCCCCTCCCCTCCCCTCCCCTTCCTGTCCCTCCCTGCCCCTCCCTCTTGCCTCCCTCCCTCCCTCCTTCCCTTCCTTCCTTCCTTCCTTCCTTCCTTCCTTCCTTCCTTCCATCCATCCATCTTGAAACGTTAGGTGAGTTCTTCCCCATTTATTTAACGAACATTTTATATGAGTCTTACTACATGCCATGTACATTATAATTCATTTTATAAATGTAATTCCCTGTGACAGTCCTATGAGTTGGATGCTATTATGGTTCCCATTGCACAGATGAGGGAACTGCCTCAGAGAACTTTCTAGTGGCCTTATAGCCATATGCCATACCCAGTGCAAACTTTTGTGGCAGCCTGGAGGTAGTTATAAAGTTAAAACAAAAGCCACTGCTTCTGAGTTGGTCAGGCATTTACCTGTAGAGCTGTGCTTTGTCTGTAAAGGTCAATGTAGTTGTGTGATCAGGATAATGGCCGCAGAACACACAAGGGGTTTAGGCCTGACCTTCCTTGCCCCATTGGTACTCAATAACTTTTTCCTGCCTGGCATGCAGTCTGATACATGCACATATAGAGAAAATCACAGACACACACATATACACACACAGAGAGAGAACATAGGTAACATTCATGCCACGGATTTAATGCAGAGTACAAAAGCAAAAACACAAAGTTGAAACGTGGCGACATCTGAATGTGACTTTAGCCTCTGCCACTTATTATCTGTTTGATCTTGAGAAGATCACTTAATTACTTGGAACTTTGGTTTTCTCCGCTGTAAAATGAAAAAGATGATGGTGGTTATAATAAAAAGTCTGATGATTGAATGAGATGATGTATTTGAATCTGTAGCTCAGTGATTTGCACATAGAAATGCTTAGAAATGTTTGTGATTATTAATATGTAAGGCTTTTTTATATATTAAAGATAATTCACCCTCTAGCATATATATAACTTGCATAAACTGAATTTTGAGAACCCAGAGCAATGCTTGTGTTTATCTGGGGACTTACTGTTTTGGATCTTGATGTTAGTTTTGTCTTCATCTTTGGCCATCAATGGGCCCTGATCAGCTCTATCAACATCAAGATTTAACTTTTGGTACCTAAATGTCTAACTGGCCTTGTGCAAATGCTAACCCTTCTTTGAGGTCCATGGCAAAGCCTGGCACCAGAATCCAGCTGTTTTTTTTTTTTTTTTTTGGAGACGCAGTCTTGCGTTGTCACACAGGCTGGAGTGCAGTGGCACGATCTCAGCTCACTGCAATCTCCGCCTCACAGGTTCAAGTGATTCTCCTGCCTCAGCCTCCCAAGTAGCTGGGACTACAGGTGCCCACCATCTTGCCTAGCTAGTTTTTGTATTTTTATTAGAGATGGGGTTTTGCCATGTTGGCGAGGCTGGTCTTGGACTCCTGACCTCAGGTGATCCTCCCGCCTCAGCCTCCCAAGGTGCTGGGATTACAGGTGTGAGTCACCCAGCCCAGAATCCAGCTTTTATGTAGACTACCGATGTGATTTT